GCGTAATCTGAAGGAGCTTCCCCCCTCTATTCACCTAAATGAAGTGTCACATTGCTTACTGTCCAAAAGCACTCTCATGCTCAATGCTCTATTCAAAACATCATGAATCTGTCAGATAATGGAAAAAACATTAAAACACCCTCTCTGTTACAGCAGTGCCAATGACTCATTCTGACAGTGTTTATTCAGTAAAACTAATGTATTTCTATGATGTGTTTGTTTCTATCAAGACACATATTCACTCTACAGGGCAGTTTTTGTGTGCAATTGAAAGGCGTTGCATTGTAATTACATAAAGTTAAATCTGTATGTTGTATGAGATGATATTCAAATCTGTGAAAAGTAAATGTGAACAATATATTGTTTTAGTGTGACAACAATGTCTGAATATTTCATATGTTTTTAGTTAATTATCACAGAGGTCCAATGTTGCTATTGGTACTATAATACCATGACACTGAGATCTGACACCAATCGTTCCCCAGGTTCCTACGCAGGAGCAGTAATCGCCATGCCTCTAGCTGGAGTGCTTGTTCAGTATGTCGGATGGTCTTCGGTCTTCTATATCTACGGTAAGACTGTCTGAATCTGAATGAACACTTTGTGCACTCGCTCTCATAAAAACAATGTAATATGTTCACATAAAGATAAAATACAATGAATGCAATGATTTGAAAAACAATTGAAAGACCCCAAAAGTAGGCTACAAGTGCGTTTAACAGTTACCAATAGTCTAACGGTACCACATTTACTTATGTTCTTTTTACATACAAAGCATCCCTGATGGCTTTAGTTTAAAAAAGTTATAAAGGATATGTGATCATTGATAAATGGATTTTATTTTCTGAGGACTTGTTTAGTATTTTTGATGATCTGCCACCTTACCAAGACTCAAATGGGAAGATAAATAGCCTACCACTTTCACGTCTGTACGGAAGAAGGTAGAAGTTGCCAGGCAATCAGTGGAAACTGCAGGAAGTTACTGCTCCTGGCCTGTGAATAGTCTGGCACATAATCCCATGTAAATCCACAACGTGCTGGCAGTAGCATCATATTTGTCATAACAGCATAAAAGTGGTATTGATGTTCTCATCTTAATCTTGGCAACAGAGAAAGTAAGTAAAAGAGTATTTCCCAAAATGTTGAAGTGTTTTATAAGCTGTGCAAGGGATCTCTGTGTTTTGCCAATAATTTTAGAACTGAGGTTAACAACGACTTGCATTTTTTTGTTGTCATTTTAACAATAGGTTGTAAAGCAGCAGATTCAACCTCAATTCATATTTATAAATATTGGACATTTTATGTGAAACAGAAAATATCATATAAATGTTATATATAGGCTCAGGTTTTGAATACATTAAATACACTAAGGTGCAAGTTTAGTGACACCCAAAGAGGTTTTCATAGTGCTTGATTAGCATGCTGCTCTGTGGCAGATGTACTTTGTATGCTTTGCACAATAAGTGTTATCTGAATTGCTTTAGAGTTGGATTAAAATGATTAACACTGACATAAAATTCATACTTTGCCAAATGTGTTTTAATAAAAATCTACTTTGTTTCTGCTTTGATATGATCTCGTGATTTATTGGTGTGAATTAGCATTTTCCTGTCTGGGCTCAGTGACTCATACCTTGTTCATTTCATTTTTAATAATGAAAATTCTTGTGGTCCAGAGAAGGTCGGGGGTTGTTTTAATTAGTATGTCCTGCCCCTTACAGAGCCTTCACTACACATAGACTATAAACATCTTTAAGTGTATATGTGCAAAGGAGAGCATTCATGTTTTTTGTTGTTGTTGTTCTCATTTCACGAAAAGGTGTTTTTGGGATCCTGTGGTATGTCATGTGGCTCCTGCTGGCATATGGAAGTCCTGCTGAGCATCCCACTATCACAGAGGAGGAGAGGACGTACATCGAGACCACCATCGGTGAAACAATGCGCCAACTGAGTGTGACTGAGGTGTGTGAGCATAATGTACTACCAGTTTCAGGGTATCACAGTGCAATCTTGAATCACTTCACTAAACCCTTGACACATGGCACACACTGACTTCTGTCTCCCAATCACAGAAATTCAAGACTCCGTGGCGTCGCTTCTTTACCTCCATGCCTGTCTATGCCATCATCGTGGCCAACTTCTGCCGCAGCTGGACCTTCTACCTGCTCCTCATCAGTCAGCCGGCATATTTTGAGGAAGTCTTTGGCTTCCCCATCAGCAAGGTTGGCCTCACAGTTTCACTACAGCTGTACAAGTGGCAATGACGAATATCTTTAAACACAGATAATTATTCAGAGGACTGATTTACATTATGGCTTCCTGAATGTTTCTTCTCCCAATAGGTGGGGCTCCTGTCCGCTGTCCCCCACATGGTGATGACAATTGTAGTTCCTATTGGAGGACAGCTAGCTGACTTCTTACGCAGTAACAAAATCATGTCTACAACGAATGTGAGGAAACTCATGAACTGTGGAGGTATGTCATGGGAAACTAGAAGCAATATGTTTTGTTATTCTTGATGAGACTTGCTCCCTGATTTTACTGTATTATAGTGCCCAGTAATCACAAATCAGTATATGAGGAGATATTTCACCATCAGACAGTGTTGTAGATGATGTAGATTTTGACTGATTTCAACCATTCTTGCATTAGCCAGTAGTAGTCAAATATTAATTGTTTTGAACTCTAAAGAAGCAATATATCAACATTGTTTAAAATAACCCCAACATCACTATGCACCATTGCTCTTGTTAGCTTTAACTATTACTAAAACATTTCTTTTGGTATAAAAAAAGAAGACTGAGTCTGATTTCTTTCGGCAGCAGTGTCCTTTGCTGAATATTTTCTTGGCTGCCTTTCTTACAGATCCTTGGCTTACAATTGAAAACGTGTATCACATTGTTTCTCACATGAGCTATTAACTCACATTCACCGGTCCTGTATTTTGTCAGGATTTGGTATGGAGGCGACTCTGCTCTTGGTGGTCGGGTTTTCTCACACTCGAGGCATTGCCATCTCTTTCCTAGTTCTGGCTGTAGGATTCAGTGGATTCGCCATCTCAGGTATTTTCACATCTGCACCAAAGAAACATCTGTGTTTCACGTGAAATGTAAGACCTTTAGTTTGACAGTGTATACCAAGCCTAAAGCATGAGGGTTTTGTTTGAAAACACTCAAATGCTCGGTATGTTGTTTTCTTTTGTACCTTTTTCTCTGTGTTATCCGTCTTTTGCATTATGAAAGACTTGTCAAAAAGATAATATACTACATTTCCTTTGGGTGTAATATAGTAAACATGCATTAGCCTGCAAAGCCTTCACACAGGCAATTCTCCTGAATATTTTATAGACTGTTGTCAAGGCAACTAAAAATCCAAATGTGCATGCAGATCTAAACCACGTTCACTTTTACAAAATATTAAAATGCCCCAGAAAATCAAGAGAATTTATTTTGTAATTGTGACAGTCTTTACTAATAATCAGATGTTCCTGTGTGTACTGTGTCTTCAGGTTTTAATGTCAATCATTTGGATATTGCTCCTCGCTATGCCAGCATCCTAATGGGCATTTCTAACGGGGTGGGAACGCTATCTGGAATGGTTTGTCCTTTGATTGTCGGAGCCCTGACTAAAAACAAGGTATAGCAAGTTGCTTTGTGACACTACAGTAACTGTTTTGCATACATATTAACATATGACCATTGATTAGTTGCTTTACCAGTCATTCATTTAAGATGTTTTGCTCTTGACTGTAATTGAATATTGGGCTAATGCTTCGATCCTTTGATTTTATATTCTGTTGACAGTTTTTTATTTATTTTTGCATGTATAAAACATCACAGGAAACTCAGGATAGTGTCCTTCACTGAGGTTTTCCCTCATGGCATGTAAAAACTAGCTTTTTGGTCAAACACAGGAACACTGGATGTAATGTTACACATATCAGTGGGTGTTCTTAATAATTTATAGCCTTGTAAAATTTATTATACACATTGCAGTTGTAGTTTTTCCGATGCCATGAGTAAGGCAGTGGATTTACAGTGTTACCTCAGTGGTACATAATCAAAAGATCAGCGAGTCTGCTTTTGACAGGAAATTCATTGACTCCATTCATCTTCCCACAGACTCGTCTGGAATGGCAGCATGTCTTTATTATTGCGTCCATGGTGCATTACTCAGGGGTCATTTTCTACGCGATCTTTGCTTCGGGAGAGCAGCAGGACTGGGCCAACCCTGAGAACATCAGTGAGGATAAATGTGGCATTATTGATGAGGATGAGCTGGCTGAAGAGTCAGAGCTCAACAGCGAGAGCATGATGGCTCCCAAAAAGAGTTACGGAACCACAGACAATTCATCTGGTCGAAAACAGGGCTGGAAAAAGAAGAGAGGGGTGACTATGCAAGAGGAGGAGGAACATTGTGGGAATGGCGACTACCAGGACCGGTACCAGTGAGACGTCCCGTGGGGCAAAGGACTTCCAAAATATCCAAATCTGGTCACAGCTGAAGGTTTGATGTCAGAAACATTGGAGAAGTGACAGAAGCAGCAGCATCATATTTACCTCAAGGTGGCCCTTTTTCATTTTTGGTCAATACTCCAGTTTAACTGTGATGTACTGTAATGTCCACAGAAAATAGTTATGTGTAAACACAACATTAAAAAAGTCGAATAGCTAAAATCAAACATATTATTTATTAGAAGCCCATTGGAGCAACACTAGAAAGAAAGAAACATCAACAAATACAGGATATAATCACAACTAGAACAATAGATTCAAACTGACACATACTATAATTAGTACTATATTAGTATGATGAGTATAATGAAGCTAAACCAACATTCATGAAGAACATCAGAAACACATATCAACTTTCAAACCTGACTTTACTTTTCCAGCAACCTGCGCTGAACGTACTCCGTCTGTGCAAGCAAACGCCGACTGAACTTATATGTACTGTGAACCATGTGAACAGTTTTTGAAATGTTTAGTGTCAGCTATGCAACGTGAAAAGAGACGCGCTTCTGGAATGTAATATTGGGTTTGAAAGCAGACCACGGTGTTAATGTAACGAGCCTTATTGTGTTTTTTGATTATTTGCCGTTGCTGAATGATTGCACTCCGTCACCGCTCAGCTCGATCTCCTTGTCTGAGTAGGTCTTTGCTCACCATCCATTTGTAATGCACTTCTTCCAGCATTATGTCATTTCCATCATTTGTAGTGCTCTGAGCTCATAATGGGACAAAATGGACGTTGCTTCATGAAGCATTTAGTGTAACTCTATTTATCCTTCTGGTGTCTATCTTTTTTGCAATTTCTCAATGTTTGATACATGGAGGCCCAGTTTGGTTCTAAAAATAATGTACTATAATATTTCACTTTAATCATAAAAGTGTAAATTTACACTCACTGTTTATCAGTACTGCTTAAGAAGAGAAAATCTGTTTTGTACAGTAAATTATTATCTTATTGTTTGAGAGAGCATTGATTTGATTTGCACTTTATGTGAACACACTGGAAATGTAATAAACTGCATTTCTACTCTGTATTAAGATTATTTAGAGACATAAATCTCTCAAGAGCTTTTAAGGTTCTAAAATATTGAATATGTCATGTTATTATCTGTGTTCAAAAAAAGTATAAAAATAATTATTTATCAAATTGTTAATTGTTCAGTTGTGTAATGGTAAACAAGAACTAAGAGTCTACAGCTATGCTAGCAGCTCTTTGGGGCTGTACCAAGGCACAGCAGTGGTTTGAGTTAAATGCTAATGTTAGCATGGCAGTATGACGTGACAATGCTAACATGCTGGTGTTAGCAATTAGCAGGTAGAATGCGTATCATGTTCTTAATTAAGGGTTTTAGCATGCTAACATTTTCTAATTAGCACTAAACAGCTGACAGCTGAGAATATCTATATCTAATATATATTTTGCAGGTTTTGAGTCATAAAAAAGTAGGTTATTTGACAAATTAAAATTTTGACCTGATGACGGCTCCAGATAAAAAAATTTGAGGATCACAGAAGTTATTACAATTTATCCTGAGATGAATATGAATATCTTGACCAAAGTTCACTTCAGTCCCTCCAATATTTGTCAGGAGCTTTTTCTTTCTGACTCGATCAAAGTGGTGGACCAACTGACTGACATTGCCATCCAAAGAGCCATGATGCTAGCATGGCTAAAAATAAATAAATAAAGAGTTTCAAAAGCTGAGAGGAATTATTTGAATACTTTTGTGCCTTCTCATTGTGTAATATAGTATCGTTCAGCTTTCAAAAATTTGTTTCCACCCCTCCAGCTCATTTTGACATTTACATGATGAACATAAAGCCTTCATAAAGACACAATTTAGATTTTGTTATTTTCTGTAAGTGCTTGACAGAATAGGCTGTCCCTGTAGCTGCCTGTTTATGTTAGTGGGCTCAAATGCTCAAATTAGACATTTTTAAATATTCCAAAGACTGCTCTGTTTCCCATCACACTGTAGTAAACATCCTCTTATCTTTACACTGTTGCTTCATTTTCACCACTGAAGATAATTACTTGACAGGATATGCTTCATCAGTGTTCTCGTTCTTACTTCTCCGAAGTCACTGCCGTTTAAAAAGACGATAGTTAGATGGAGTAATTTTTAATGTAGAATATATATACAATATATATATATATATATATATATATATATATATATATATATATACACACATATATACATATGTTAACACTTAAAATTGATTGCTTTCTGTGTCTAGTCATTATTCCCTCAGAAGTTATGGGGCTTTGTTGCTGGTTGTCCAGGCAGTGCTCGTCCTTGAAAGCAAGCGGACAATTATGTCACTTTCCAGGGTGTGTTTCTGTGTACGTCACTTACGATATGGTCTCTCTGGAATGAGTAACAAAAACCCAAGGTGAAACGAAAGCCCCACCCAAACCACTCAATATCTGCCTCCTTGTCACACCACATGAAGAGAGCTATCTAAAACACGATGAACCTCAGCAATACTTGTGTGCTGTAAATGTAACTTATAAATATGTTCAATGGAGTGGTGTCCGTCCCTTCCCAGAGGCCATCGCTAATTCCCCACATACTCTCAAAAACAGACCAGATAGTCCACAAACAGCTGGCAGCCAATGGCAAAGGTTCTGTTTATTTCACAGTGACTGTCTGTTGACTCAGAAGGGCCTCTTTGGATGGAGCAACAACCCATCAATGATTAAACTATTGGTTTTTGACAAATTAAGGACTATAAAGGCTCATTTGATTTCCTGATTACTGGTACTGCACATTCAGTGGCTTAATAAAATGGCTTTGATCAGATGGCAACAATGCCACAGTCTGCTTTTAGAGGTTTTATATGATATCCTCAATTTATCCCTGTGATTATTATGAAAATATTACAAAAGAATTCAGGGTAGCAGCAGTTAAAAGACACAAAAGCACACCACAACACATTTTTTTAGGTTTAAGTTAAAAAGGATAATCTCTTAAACGGATAGCAGCACTTTCAACCGACTTGCTTGTACTAATGCTAATGACTGGATGTATATTCCATCTGTGATGTTTGTGAGGGCGGGATTGTGGGATTTCTGGTCTGCTGGAGAATTCATGCAGCAGCCTCTTGTCTTGGTAAGATAAAGAAGGATTTTTTGGAGGGGGGTGGGCGGGGGTTTGGAGGGGGGGATGACATGGACAGGAATGGACAGTTTAATTAATAACCACCATCCATTTCTCCCTGACCTCAACTGGTCACACATGCTCTCACTGGAGCCCAGACACAAGCAGCTAAATGTTCATTAGCAAATATTGATTGAGCTGAAGCTCACGGCGTGGATATCAGAAACAAGGCTGAAAAAGAGGAAATTTAGCGTGCAGGAATTCAACATCAAGTGGCCAAGATAAGGTAAGAACTATGAGATTGAGTCTGAACATATTTTATTTTTCACTGGTGAACAGGTGACTTCTTACGAGCCCTCAGTGTGCCACTGTGTCTGAGGTATGTTTGGCTGCTGTGTGGGTTGTGAGAGTGGACTGGAGGTTTCTGAATCCTTGTGGGTTGCTTTTGGACTCAGGGGAAATTACACTGAGTTAATTAAAAACAAAAAGTGGCAGATGAAGCCTATAAAAGTAATGTCTCACATGTGACCATGTTGTGGCCTTGACACCAGAAAGTTGTTTGTTACTCATGAGATACCTTCAAGAACATATACAATTCAGATTTTTATCACATTTTTTAAATGAGCTGTAGATTCTGAACACTCACATATATTATATTTGGTAAAATTACATTAAGAAAGACAACTGATTTTGTCATACATCCTGTCAAGTGAGCCTTTATGACACAATTTGTATTTGAATATGTAATGAGTGAAAACATGTAATTACTGCACTGACAGGAGGTCGTAAGAAAATGCTATTTCCATGACTCACTCTTTGGGAGGCCTGCCATGTGTCTTGCCATGTGTGTTGATGTAGAGACTCCCAGGCTGATGTTTAATTACACTGTGGTGCAGGTTGCAGAGGATCCTGCAGATCTATAAGGGTGTTCCGGAGATTTTCACCATGGTTTACAAATCACTGTTTATGCTTGTTGCAGAAGTTAACAGAGGCTTACTACTACTTTGTGGCCCAGTCCAACCTGTAGTTTCTGAGTTGGTACCTGTCGACCCTCCTGAATGAATGAGTGGGTGGGCCCCGACATCAATGTGGTGGGACCACTGGAAATCCCACCCAGCAATGAATTCGCCATCTCGGAGAGCTCCCACTTTTTTGGTAAGTTTACTTGTCAGGAACCAGCTCACAGACAGATGAAGCCACAGAAGAGTCTACAGCCGCACAGCAGTGCTTTGAGCTAAATGCTTACTTCAGCATGCTAACATCCTCGCAACGACATTAACTTGCTGATGTTTAGCAGATAAATTTTTTTACCATGTTCACTATCTTAGATGAGTATATTAGCATGCTAACAGTTCAAATTCAAATTCAAATCAGCTTTATTGGCATGAATGTGTAACAACAATATTGCCAAAGCTACAACTAAATTACAAAAGATCGATTAATTTCATACATTGTTTCATACAGCTAACAGTTTTTATTTAGCACTTAACCCCAAATGAAGTTTATGTCTAGTTTTGCAGGCATTTGGTCTTAAAGCAAAGGTGCAAAATTTGACCGAATGGCCTAACGTTAGATGAATTGTCAGGGGATCACCAAAGTTATTATAATTGATCCCGGGGTAGACTTGAATGTCTGTACCAATTTGCATGGCAATCCATCCTACAGTTTTTGAGATAATTCACTCTGGACCAAAAGTGGTGGTCCAACATTCCCTCATGGCCATGTCTCTAGCATGGCCAAAAATACGTTCATGCTGCTGTGTCCTTCCCAATTCTTTTATTCTCCATGGACATGACGACACAAATGATCCTCCTCTCCTCAGGTAAACATGAAGATATAGGCACACCTATAGGCTAAACATGTAAATGCATGAACCAGTTCACATCCATGTCTGTCGACTCACAAACTCAAGCAGCACCATTCAGTAGCAGTCAGCTGGTACCCAAATCTGGAAATGACTCCACACATTAGCCAGCTATTGTAATGATGTGAATAAATGTGACGGTGTGTGGTTAATGAGTAACCGTGGTGACCTTTGCTCTCCTTGGGATTTCTCAAACAAGCGCCAAGTAGTTCAGTACTTGATCTGCTGTTCTCACATCTTTTAAGGAAGGTTTCCCATGAAATGAAATAAATGGAAGACGATTTGTTAGTTAGAGGCAAAGGAAGGACTGATCTCTAAACCAAAGCTGGACTGTCGGGATCAGAGAGTGAAGTCTCTGAATAGTTTGTGTGTTTGGTCACACAGACATGGCCATGGTCCAGACCAAGTCTTCAAGAGGTTAGTGGTACATATACTTATACAGCTGTTGTATTAGTGTCAGGTTGCTTCGATGAACGCCTGACAACATTTCAGTGAAGTTGAGGGATTATTCTTGTGGACTTGACATGGTGTTTGAAATTGTGATCACCACCCTTCTGATGTTTTTAAAGGAAATGTCATATCATGAACATGTCACACTTGTTCTGGAAATCAGTAATGACTCTGCAATCCTATTAACATTCCTGTTTTTGTTTTAAAAGTGCTTGTTTTCTAAAAGACGTGGTGTTCTCTGTCCAAGCGAGTTGTTAATCATTTATGGGTTTATAGCGTGTGCTATGTGGGTTACCGACTACTGCTGAGCCAGTTCCTATTATTATATATTATTATATTGTTATTATTATAACATGCTTCTGCAGGGAAGCACTTGAAATAAAAACCAAACCAGATATATCACATGTCAGAGATATCAGAGCATGAAAATAGAAGTCACTTGACTTGACATTATGTAAAATTGATCTAGTTTGCTATTTGGCTGCTTCAGACACTTAAACTTCACCATTTTTATTTGAGTAACCAGTCCACATTATTAAACCTACACTAATCAATATTTTTATAAAAACAATATGTTGAATGACCTTAATGTGAAAGGGGTCACTCTTAGTGATGGTCCCTCAGATAATTCTCATCAGACTC